CGAGATCTGAGATTGCCGAGTTCCACGACAATTTAAATAATGAGTTACTTAATGCACAAATGCAGAACATACCATACAAAAAAGTTAGATCAGACAACAATGACCCTAAATAGATAAATAATTATTTAAAAAACATTATTGGCCAAAGGAAGGCTATAGGTAGAAGGATAAATCGTGGCGAAATTTACCTCAGGGAGTATAATAAGGTATTGGCCGGTAGGGTTAAGACCGAGATAAGAAAAGCAAAGAGGAATTATGAACTGAAGATAGCAGGGAAGGCGAAAACGAACCCCAAAGGATTCTACCAAATGTATCAAACTAAAACACGAGAAAAGATTGGACCAATACGTTCAGATACTGGCGAGCTAACTGATAATAACGGAGAAATGAGCAATAAGCTGAATAAATATTTTTCAACAGTTTTTCCACTGAAAATTTAAACATGATATCCGAGGCACCGTCTCTATTCAGAGATAGTGAAGAAAACAAATTAAGCAAGATAGTAGTGACTAGTAACGATGTTAATAAGCAAATAGACAAACTGAAGCCTAATAAGTCACCTGGTCCCGATGAGATATTTGCCAGAGTATTAAATGAATGTAAGGAAGAGCTTAGTATGCCCTTAGCAAAGTTGTTTAACAAGTCATTAAAAACAGGTGTAGTACCAGAATCCTGGAGGATAGCGAATGTAATACCGATTTTCAAGAAGGGGGATAGATCACTATCCTCTAACTACTGCCCAATCAGTCTAACATCAATAGTAGGTAACTTACTAGAATCAATCATTTCAAACTCTATTCGAAACCACCTGGAGAAGCACAAGTTCATCAATGATTCCCAACATGGCTTCACAAGCGATCGTTCATGTCTAACTAATCTATTAACATTCTTTTCATCAGTTTTCGAATCGGTGGACGAGGTGCACAATTATGATGTGGTATATCTCGACTTTAGCAAAGCCTTCAACAGAGTCCCCCACGAAAGACTAATTAGAAAGGTAGAAGCGCATGGCATCAAAGGTAATATCCTTAAATGGATTAAGGCGTGGTTACGAGACAGGAAACAGCGAGTGAGCATAAATTGCACTAAATTGCATTGGAGCAACGTCACTAGTGGAGTTCTCCAAGGCTCAGTACTTGGACCATTATTATTTATTATATACATAAACGACATAGATATCGGCATAGACAGCAACATAAGTAAATCTGCTGATGACACTAAAATAGGACGTGTAATTAAATCTGACGAGGACTCTGTAAAACTACAGGAAGATCTACACAAATTTTTCGAATGGTAGGAAAATTGGCAGATGTAATTCGATGTTGACAAATGTAAAGTACTCAGTATAGGAGATGTAAACAGGGAAACCAGTTACCAGATGAACAACGATGCCATTGTGGAATCCGACTGCGAGAGAGATTTAGGAGTAATGATAAGTAGGAATCTTAAGCCAAGTAAACAATGTGTTTTTGCTCGTAACAAGGCTAATAAAGTACTTGGGTTCATACAAAGGAGAGTTAGTTACAAGACTAGCGAGGTCATCTTAAAATTATATCTAGCGCTTGTGAGACCTCACCTGGATTACGCAGTTCAGTTCTGGTCACCGTATTACAGAATGGATATAGAAACCTTGGAAAGAATCCAGAGGAGAATGACAAGACTAATCTCGGGCATTAGGAACCTTGAATACAGAGACAGGTTAAAGCATCTTAATTTGCACTCCCTCGAGAGACGTAGAGTGAGGGGCGACATGATAGAGGTGTATAAATGGAAGTCAGGGTTAAACAAAGGGGACATTATAAAGGTACTCATACTATCCAACCAGGAGCGAATTCTTAACAATGGTTTTAAATTAGACAAATTTAGATTTCGGCGTGAAATAGGTAAACACTGATTTGGAAACAGAGTAGTGGATGAATGGAACAAGTTACCAAATATCATCATTAACTCGAATACGCTGGATAGCTTCAAAAATAGGTTGGATGCTTATATGAGCAATAGGGGTTGGGTATAAACGGGACTGCCCAGTATGGGTCAATAGGCCCGCTGCAGTTTCCTCCATTCTTATGTTCTTATGTTCTTATAGGCCGGTTGGCCTGTGCTTGGCAGCTCCTGTCGAGAGTTACTACCACTCTCTATCATCCATGAATCTATCTAGCCCCCTTTTGAAACTTTCCAGCATTCCAGCACTTACTACAAAGTTGCTAAGCTTGTTCCACTCGTCCACCACCCTATTTGTGAACCAGTTCCTTCCTATCTCCCTCCTAAACCTAAACTTATCCAACTTAAATCCGTTGCTCCGAGGCCTATCCTGCTCTGATATTATAAGAACTTTATCTATATCCCCTTTATTGATTCCTTTCACCCACTTAAATACTTCTATCATATCTCCCCGCACTCTTCGTCTTTGTAGGGAATGCAAGTTTAGTTTCTTTAACCTATCTTGATATGGAAGGTTTCTAAGTCCCGGAATCATTTTCGTCATTCTTCGCTGCACCGACTCTAGTGAATTGATATCCATTCTATAGTAAGGGCACCAGAACTGAACCGCATAATCGTGGTGCGGCCTGACTAGCGCAAGATATAGTTGCAATAAGACCTCTGCACTCTTATTACTTACACTTCTAGATATACTCTGTTTGCTATATTTCGAACATTAACGCACTGTTTTCTAGGCCGTAGGTCCGGGCTTACAAGTACCCCTAGGTCTCTTTCACAAGTGGACTTCTCTAGGTTGATGTTGTTAAGTCTGTATACATTGTCAGTATTTGTTCTTCCAATATTAAGTACGCTGCACTTGCTGGTGTTGAATTTCATTTGCCATTTTTCAGACCACCCCTGCAGTTTATTTAGATCCTCCTGTAATGCATTTGCATTCTGCCCTGAATTAATCTGCCGCCCTATTTTGGTGCCATCCGCAAACTTGCTTATGTCACTGCTGATCCCAGTATCTAGATCGTTATGTAGATTATGAACAAGAGTGGTCCTAGTACTGACCCCTGGGGAACCCCCCCAGACACACCCGGATTAGTGACGACATCTTCCGGCTCGTGACTGTCAATATAATAGCCTAGAGCTCCTTCCACGGAGCATTAGCATTCGGATTATTATTGTAACAGGGAAGGGGCCGACAGCTCCTTCCCAGAGGAAGAATTCCCTCTCCAGCACCGAGTCTCAAGCTAGCAGAGTCTCCCATAGGAGAAATAGTCCAGCAGCACCTGCAGCTTCCCCAGCCGCTGGGCCTCCCTCAGGTCACAGGTGAGTCATTGTCAGAGAGATCCATTAGGGGAACGTAAATGTGTCTGTCTGTGTCATTCAGTTAACTAATAGATAGTTGTACTTACAGTAGACTTGGTGTTTAGAGAAAATTACTCCTTAGAATATATAAAACCAAATATAATAAACTAATCTTCATCACTTTACATCCTCCTCCTAATAATTCTTCCTATATCTTCTGTATGAGCTTTCCCTCATTACACTGGTGGCAGTGTACTTAACGTAGGCCCACATCCTCCTTTGCTTAGCCATTGCACCTGCCACGTCTACCCCTTCATTTAATTCAGTTTGAGTATTGTTTAACCATGTGCTGTAAAGAACCCCAAGTAGTATAGCGTGAAAAGTGTCCTAGTGTGTCATCTGAACAACTCAAGTAATCGTTTCTCGTCGTGGTATGTGCGAATTGCTACTAGCATAACTCCCCAGAATATGTTCAATGCTTGATATAATTTGTCAGTATCCCCCACGATTTGTAATGTTCTCAGTGTCACTAGTGCATTTTAACTGTCGGTCAATACTACATGTACTCATTGTGTTTTAGTGATGGCAGCTGCGTCTATACTAACTGCTTTAACCTAACATATCTGCCCAGTATGGGCCAATAGGCCCGCTGCAGTTTCCTCCATTCTTATGTTCTTATAACCTACATCCTCCTCCCTGTTCTAATCTCCACTCCACTCACCCCACCCCACCCGCCTCACCCCTCCTCGACCCGTCCCACCACGTCTGACCTCACTAATCCCCAGTCTGTTTTGTCCTATAAGCTATGCTTTGAAATTGATGGTTCGTGAAATTTGATATTGCCATACTTGCAGAGCTTCACTCAGTGGACTTTTAGGCTAGTATGATTTATAATGTACTCTGTGACACGTATTGGCGAATAGTATTCTGCGTAGTGAGCAGAGCTCATTCCCCGAACCAGCTTTGAGGACATAGTTGCCGAATATTGATGTAATGTATAAAGTAAATATACATTTTTTTTACAGATGCACTTCCAACTAATCCAACATCCCTGTAGGATTGTCTTTCTCTGTCAAATGTCACACACAGTACCGCCCCATGGCCAGCCGGATGTTGGAGATAATCAGCTCATTTGGGCATGACCTGACGTCGCATGTCCAAGCTGTAAGCAGTGATCGGCCAGGATGAAGGCGCCATACGAAAACAGCAGCAATCAGGAGGTGACGATGGACCACAGCACGTATGGGCAGAGTAGAAGCAGCGTGATGAATGCAGCACCACACACAACACACACCAAAAATACCGCGAATTAAACCACAAATCATTTTAATTGGTTGCAAAAAAACAAACGCTCTTGATTGGTCGCGTGACGTGTACGGGAACGCATGAGCGTAATGATTTATGAAGGAGACACGTAGGAGACACGCAGTGTGAGAGGTGAGGTAGGCGATAATGGTGGAAGATTAACGAAAGAAAATTGAGAAAATTTTGGATATGCTATCTCCGTTATAATACATTTGCGACGGTAATGTAATAGATGAAAATGATCTTATAATTAGACGTCTTATTAGAATATGATAATAAATTAGTGGTTGGAATGTGTAAACGCAAAAATACCCACAATTATATAACTCGATTTGTAAATAAATAAAATGCACTCCACTAACTACATTTATAACCCACGATCTACTCCACCAACCACATCTATCACCCACCATTTACTCCATTAACCATCTCTATCACCCACCACACGACTTCCTCACCTGTATGCACGGAATCTGTGTAACGTTGTAAGTTGTAGTCGCACCGTGAGAGCGCACTTGTGTAGCACTAGACGGTAAGAGCGTCGCAGTGCGTAATTCTTGGGCAGCACTTGAGAGAAGAGGCGTAGTACTTCGCATTTCGGTGCTTGAGGGGGCATGGCTGGTAGTTGTGATACGCTGGTCAGTGGCAGTGCTAGTATCATCTTTACCACCCTCAGGTACAGACCCTACCTGCTGTTGTGTTGCCGAAGACGTAGTGCTGTACAATAAACATGAGATTATTTAAGCACAAATGATAAGGAAGAATATACGAGTATAATACAACATAATACAATACATGTCAATTGAGGTCATCTTGCATACTAGTACTATTACTACTACTACTACTACTACTTTTTTTTTTTTAATTTACATGTGGCCTCCAGCCTCCCCAATAGCCACACCTTCGCCACCATTTTATTACCTTAATATTAAATATCCTAATACATAAGTAGCTATCCTATCTGTGTTGAATTAGTTGAGCTTGAGCCGCAGATCTATGAGGCATTCAGTGACTGTTGCCATATAGTCAATATCTGCAGCAGTTGTCGGGATTGGGGCAAAGCCGACCGAAGGAGAGAGAAAGACAGTCGACATCTCATCCAGGCTGTAACGTAACTTCTGGGCTGCTGCTCCTGTTCGGAGATCACCTCCGCGTGTCTGGCGTAGAAACATCTTGCACTTGGTCCGACCCCACCAGAGGTTGTGAACACTAGAGGAGTGAAGCTGCCTTGATCAACGTTTTGAATTCTCTCCCCATATGCCCTTCTCTTGTCGTTCTCGTTCCTCCTATGTGCAGCATCGAGAGCTAGGTTACGATGACATGCGGCCATGGGATCAAAACTCCTGATGTCGAAGAAAGCTTGCTGTCCCCAAGTCCAGAATCCTCGAGCACTGACGTCCACACAGGCTTCGTTAGATGTGTTTGAAGTCCTGTGTTGGAAGATCTCACCATCCAATGGAAGGAGGGTCGGTTCTACCATGACATCCCGGCAGATTTCCTTCAACATATTTGCGGTGAGGTCCCTTACCTCCTCATGCCTCATGCATATGAAGCCCCCTTTCTTGCACACCATGGTGTGATCGCCATCATAGGAAGAGCCACACATGCATTGGGAGGGCAAACCTTCTACTGGCCGACCGTACCTTAGAGCAATGGCATCTGTAAATTATTGTTTATTAAGACTGAAACCATTTGCCCTTATCGGTAACATAGTTAACCAGTTTGAGGCGCCCACCTCCTGCGCTACAGCTACTTTTTTTTTCAAATTTTCTGGTACCTGCAGCAACAGTTGCTGCAACTTATCATTTTGGCAGTGCTGTCAATCTGTCGTAATGGACCTACGAATCTTGTTTACTTCACTGGTATCCACCTCCCCTGTTGCATTCTAGGCTATTATGTGGTCCCTGAGGGCTTCAGTGAATTTTGATGTTCGGTGGCAGCAATCTCCTCTGGATTGGTTAGTCCCATCCCTCCCAGTCTTGGTGGAAGTGCTAGAAGTGCTCTTTCTGCTGGGGTTAAGTCAAGGTGTTTCACTAATTTAGGAATGAAATTGACACTGATAACTTCTTCCAGAGGGTGGTGGAGGGGCCCGATATCAGGAATAGTACGCATCAGGTAGTTCCAACCATGCTTGACTCCATGGGTGAATACAACAAAGGCAGCATGTGGCTCTGTGTTAGCAATCCCAGACAGAGCTTGGATTTCACTAACCCACTCATTCACCTTTCCCGCTACGTACTCGGTCTTGAAGTCCGTAGTGCCAATTACTGCGCCTAGATGTCTTTGACCGTCCTTAGTTATTTTGACCTCACTTCCGTCAAAAATCTCCATTGCCCGTTCATAATGTTCTGGCTTCATGATGAGGAAGGACTTGCTGGCGTTTGGGTGGTACCCTATTTGTGGACCTCGCGATGTTACCAAGTCCCACCACTTTTTGATGCCCTCCACTTTTCCTGCTCCTGTAAGGTCATCAGCATATGCCACTTGTATGACCCCAGTTGTTTCAAATTTTATTTCATGTTGGAGCACTGATAGGCCAATTGCATACATTGCCATTGCAACAGGGTCCCCCTGTGTTGTTCCCTCGGTTGACTGTAAGATGCTATGTCTGATGGATTCCTATACGAATTTTCAACATACATCGCAAAGCTTGGACACTTGATCTTGATGTTGTGCAGTGCAGCCTTGCGGATAAATATGTTGAATGCGTTTGAAGCATCCACCAGGAGAACGGCCTCACAATCACGCTGCTCAAATATCAATCTCATGGCGTGAATGGCGGCCTCCCGGCCAGCCTGGAGGCCAGCACACACTTGTAGGTTCCCTGCTGCTGCCCTGACATCATCCTTTACCACCTCCATTGTGCATTTGCTGATGATCTGCCTCAGCACTTCTCCCACCCCTATAGGTCTACATCCTGGTTTCTTTTCCAGAGGAATAAGGCGGCAGGCCGTCAGGGCCTGGAGGTGATGGCAGCAAGAGGATGCAAGCTTTCTTGCAAGGGCGGCAATGGCAGTGCACAGATCGCTTGCTACAGGGCCAATCTTGTTTGTGCTGAGAATGACTCTCCAACCGTTTGCATCCAGACCTGAAGGGCCGGCTCCTCCTCGAGTCTTCAGTGCCTTTTACCACACCATCTCTCCTGTTATTTTCTCGAACAGGACAGCATTTGGTGGGATATAGTCACCCTGGAACCTGATGCCTTCTTCTTCGCTTGCAGGGGGATGTTTCTCTTTCAGTAGTTTTAATGTCTCTCTGTTTATTGGCATCACCCCACCGGAGGATTCCTCTGTGAGAGATCTTACCGCAAGAGACACTTTTCCCACACGCATTTTGTTTCCAAATTTTCTTGCCACATCATCGGTGTTTTGCTTTCCGTCACCCGGAATTTTTAGTCTCTCCTGCAGTGTTGTTGCTTCACATAGGAGATCATCAAGGGCCCCAGTCTGCCACATTGCCAATCTTCTCCTCATTGCTGCCACATTTTCTTTGTGCTTAGTCTTTGTAGGTTATGTATCTATGCTACTGTGCCAAGTAGCAACCTTGTAAATAAGCTACTGTGCCGAATTGCATTTATATATGTAATTACGTGGCAACACTGCACGTGTTATGTGGCAACATTGCCCAGAGGCTGCCATATGGCAAGGCAGTCCCAGTCTGACTCCGTGGGCCGTGCATGGCACACGCTAGTCACCACTTGTATTTCTCCTATCCGTTAATAAATGGACTTCAGTGTTACCCTGCGTTTCCCTACCCATCACTGCCTTCACGACGGGGAACACTTGGAACCTTCATGGCGCAGTGAGTAGGATCTGTGGACTTACAAGTGTTGTGAACAATGCCGACAGTTACGTCTGCCGGTGATGTGCGTGTCGACTCTAGTGTGTTGTGTTGTGTTGCATTGTGTTTCGCCGCGATGTGCAGTGTTGCGCCGTCACAGTGCGTTTAGTGACGGTGGCAGTGTTAGTGTCAGTGTATTAGTGTATCTAGAGCTGAGAGTTGAGCATTGGCCTCTTTTTTGTGGTACCCACGGAGCACGCAGGCATACACCCTTCTCGTGTGACATCCAGGGAGACACTGTCGGTCTTGCCTCCGCGAGCCACCACGCTACACACACACACACACACACACGCTACACACACACACACACACACACACGCACGCACGCACTCACGAACAGAACAGTGGACTCTATGCATTATTTCTGCGCTGTTTTTTAGTCATATATATGTGGTTCGAGCTGATGAGGCGCCACTTTATATACTAAATAGCGCAGTTCAAGCATACTAAGATGGGCGGTGAGAAGGGACAACGTCAAGATGGGAGACACGACTCCCCACCACCTTCTCCTCTACAGGGCACAGATGGAGCTTCTGCGCCCACCGCCCCTCATCCTTCACCTACAGCGACTGACATTGCCACAATTCTGAGGTGGATGGATCACAGGGACCAGAGAAGCAGAGAGATGAAACTTCAGAGGGAGGAGACACGAAGAGAGGAGGAAAAGGCGGGCTTTGATGCAATATTGGAGACCCTGGCGCTAACCCACCCTCCCTCACTCACGCACCAAGGCGCCAGTGCCCTCCCTCCTCCACCACACCAGCGTCCTCCAGGTACTCTTGCTACTCCAACAGCTCCCAAGGAATCTGTTCAACCCCCACCCGCCCTCTCACCAGACGTCACGTTTCAGCTTTTTCGTGAGTGGAGGTGGTGTTGGACAGATTACTCCACGATGGTGGACCTTGACAGCATGCCTCCAAACAAACAGCTCATCCAACTGCGGATGTGTTTGTCGCTGGAGACCCAGAGAGTTTTGGAGCACACATTGCAAGTGCCTCCCGATTCTACCTCTTCAGTGACGGATGTGCTCGACCTTTTGCAGGAGCACGTTAAGGGTCGGAATAACGAGGCTTTGCGTCGCCGCGCCTTCACCAGCTGCAAGTAGGCGGAGAATGAATCCTTTGACGACTTTTTTGTACTCTTGAAGAGTTTGTCGGAGGAGGTCGACGTCTGCAAGGCGCACACCCGGGAATGTGAGGAAGCCTGGATCAAGCACGGGATCTTGACAGGTGTCAGGCAAGAAGAGTTGGTGCAGCGACTCATCCCCCTGGACGCTTCCTCCACACTCCAGGCGGTAGTGACTGAATGTCGGTCATACGAGGCCACTAAGTCCGCCACCTTTGCCTTACGGGCCCCACCTGCTGTGAGAGCAATCTCTCAGTACAAGAAGGGTAAGAAGGCGGCCAACAACGTGAAGGCTGCCGCACGTTCTTCCACGCCTCCGCCTAGTGCTTCCTGTGGCAGCTGTGGAAAGCAGCATGGCCCCAAGACATGCCCAGCCGCCGTCGCACTGTGTCGTGGATGTGACCGTAAGGGCCACTGGTCTAACACAGACAGGTGCCCTGCACGAGGCCGCAAGTGTCAGGCCTGCGGTCGCTATGGACACTACGACAAGTGCTGCCGCCAACCCAAGCCCAAAAGCCCGAGACGAGGAGGAAAGGAGCGCACTTCCCTCAGGGTGGTTCGCATGCAGCCCCCTTCAGATGGCCCACGCAGCCCCAAGCAGCAGCTGAGTCACATCAGAAGAGTGGACTCGACCACACGCCCCAGGGCTACCCCTTCCCCTACCATCCGCGTCGCCGTCACACACGGTATTGTGTCGGGTCACATCGAGGTGATACCAGACACCGGCGCTGATACTACGGTGATAGGCCTGA